CCCCCCCCCCCCCCCCCCCCCCCCCCCCCCCCCCCCCCCCCCCTCTCTCTTCTTCCTGGCACCACGTAATTGTGTATACGTCTCCGCATCGATTTTTGAGCGTCCCACCTCTCAAACCTCTGGAAATATATTCCGCCACTACATAGCCGTGCAGCACACTCCGAACATATCCCCTGGTCTTGCCTCTCGGCTCCGTCCCTCCGTTACTTGGTACTATCATCGCCCCCCCTCCCCCCCGCTGGTGATTGCCATCGGGGATGGGTTTTCGTCGCTTGGCAACGACGTTGTAAAACAAGCCAACCCCTCGGAGTTTGCCATCGGGATTGGGTTTTCGTCGCTTGGATGATGTTGTAAAGCAAGCCAATTCACTTCGTGAACTTGGCAACCAGAATACCGTTTCTTTTTTACCTCTTTTTTGTTTTGGCGGTAACCATGGATGGTGGTCGAGTAGATCATGTTGTGCGGGGTCGAGAACCCTCACTCCGCGCAAGGGGGATGATCGCACCACGTTGTGTTAAAATGGTCAAGCACCCTCGAGACAGTTACACAGAGCTTACAACTGTCTCAGGAAGTGAAGCGCCAGAAAACACATTAAGTCATACGCAGCTGTCATCCGTATGCAAGGAAGTGAGTACAAGATACCGAACACCCTTAGCAGGATGCAGAGCACCCTTCATGCTACTCGCCGAATACCTCACGGCGCTTCGCGCTTGGTCGCCTCTGTAGGGATGCGAGGTCAATGGTCTAACGNCGCAATCTAGACTTCAGTGGGTTGGCGCTGTTGGCAAAGCGCTGTAAAACACGCCACCCCAAATATAGCCCCCATAGTATGCGCTACCAAAGACGCGTGACGCATGGATGCGTGGAGTGAGGATTGCTTACGGAAACCTCACAGGTTGAGTGATGTAGGAGATTGCCGGACACATAGACGTGTTGAGTGATTATACCTGTATACTGAAACCCCCAAGGGTTGAGTGAGGTTTGAGATTGCCAAGACACATAGACGGGTTGAGTGGGGATAGCTACATACTGAAACCCACGGGTTGAGTGATGTTGGAATGCCAGACACATAGACGCTTTGAGTGAGGATGGACACATACTGAACCTCACAGGTGATTTGCATTGGAGGTTGCCGGACACAAAGACGCGCTGAGTGGGATAGCTACATACTGAAACCTCACGAGTTGAGTGATGTTTGATAGTGCCAGACACATAGACGCTTTGCGTAAAGAAAGACACATACTGAAACCTCACAGGTTGATTTGTATTGGAGATTGCCGGACACATGGTCGCGTTGAGTGAGGATAGCTGTGTTGTGCGTTTTCGTCCTATTTGTTATGGCGACAGTCCCCCCATTTCTCGTGGTGAGACGTGCACTATACTTTTCAGCGTACGTAGAGTGCTACACTTTTCAGTGTATTTTTTCGTACAACTACAACCATCCAGGGTCACACAGGAGGGGGTGTACACCAGGGCTTTTTTCTTCTTTTTATAGATTTTCATGCCCCACCTTCCTCCTGCGGTGCGTGCTGAATTTAAATTTTATCGCGAGAAGGATCCAGCCGTCCCTTTCCCTCATCAACGGTGCTAACGTCGGAGTTTGGTACTCACGAGAGCTTGTCAGCTGTATTTCGCTTTCACCAGCACATTTTGTAAATTTTTCACAACATGGGGATTCGAACTCAAGACCTCTGCGACGAGCAGATTACGAGGATACATACCACTAGACCACCGGGGCGACCGATAGCTGTATACTGAAAATCCACAGTAGCTATAGTGAGGGGACAGTTCGAGAATGCAGTACACATAGAACCGACCCCCAACCCGTACCCGTACCCCCCCTGAAAAATAGAGGCCATGCGCCCCCCCCCCCCCCTACCTCCCCCAGAGGATGAGGAGGGTACAGTCCAAAGTAAGCACAAGCTTACCTACTAGTCCCCCATTGGGCGGTGGAGGACCTAGAGCTAAGACACCCCAAAACTAGAGCTAAATACTAAAGTCCCCCATTGGGCGGTGGAGGACCTAGACCCCAAAACTCTCCGGCGTGGGATCCAAAATGGATCGGACGGTGGAGGGGGG